ATCCTTTGCTATGATAAACTCATGAGATCAGCAATTATGAAAACCACGGTGACTACTAATTTTCTTCCTGCAAGCCGCTTTCAGCAGGATTATTTCTTATAAAGCTGAAATAAAAAGACTTGAGGAGTCAGAAAAGTATGACTTTATGACAGTAAATAAGAAACTGTCCTAAAACAAAAAGAAGTTTTTATTAGTGACATTTTAAAACATGACTTTGAGGATTATAGATATGCCCACTCCGGATTCCTAACTCTTTATTAAAAGGTTTCTGTATTCAAGGTTTTGAGGCGTTGACTAATTAATTCATCTTTGCAATACCACTGAGAAATAGGCAAACAAGTCAAATGGGAATTGAGTATATTTTGGATTATAATTCCTGTGTTATTAAAAAAGAATTAGCAGAGATTGTAATAATTAGTGTGAAAATGGATAGCAATTAACATAGGAAAAATATGTAAAGAGGGCAAGAAGAGGTGTAGACACACTCAGAAATCTAGGAGTATGACCTGAACGAGTCTGATAGTCTGTTGCCCCCAGAAATTGTAATAGGATATGTTTTGGGAAAGCATGATGTGGCCTTAAGGCACAGTCATATATGGATGTAGGTGCCATAAATTTACTGCAAACCACCTGGACTCTGTACACTTCGACCAAGTCGTCAAAAAATGTTTCATAATTTTATTTTCTACCATATGAAGACGTAATACTTCTTTTGTCTGTCTCAAAGTTACCATTCCCCCTTCTTTCAAAGAGCTAACTCTTTTCCATAAATTTTAAGAAGGTAGTTAGCAAATTCAGTTGATTTTATTTATGCCTTTTATGTTCTTTAATATTTTATTTCAGAGTTTTTATTTTCTATTTTGTCAAGACTCTTAATCCATTTGTTGGGTTTTCCCACCACCATTTTCTTGAATATTTCTTTTTCTTTCATGTTAAATATTTCTTAAGGATGAAATCCAAGAGCACATAGTGTTTAAGCTGTAGTAAATACACCATTGCTTCAGCATTACGTTTCTTTCCTTTTCTTTTTTTTTTTTTTTTTTTTTTTTGAGACAGAGTCTTGCTCTGTCGCCCAGTTTGGAGTGCAGTGGCATGATCTCAGCTCACTACAAGCTCCGCCTCCCGGGTTCATGCCATTCTCCTGCCTCAGCCTCCCGAGTAGCTGGGACTACAGGTGCCCACCACCACGCCCAGCTAATTTTTTGTGGTTTTAGTAGAGATGGGGTTTCACTGTGTTTGCCAGGATGGTCTCGATCTCCTGACCTCGTGATCCACCCGCCTCAGCCTCCCAAAGCGCTGTGATTTTTTCATTGACATTGCTTTTTATGACAATGCCCAGGGTTCTATTAGCCTCTTTGGTTGCAGAAGAGTCCTTTGTTTTATATACTATTTGGAGTCGTTTATTATTTAATTAAAAGATACATAACTAATTAGTGACACAGCAAGTTTTCTTACTCACAGCTATCCAAAATGACTCTTCTTCGTGCATTCATAATCTCAATTGGTGACACTGTGGTTCACCAGTCAATCAGCTAGAAATCTTAGAAATCTGTGCTTGATTCCAGATGTCTCTCACTCACTCCAAACTTTTAAGTCCAGTTAATCACAAAGTCCTTCCTGTAGGATTGGAAAGATGAATGTCCTAGCCTCCTGACCTCCGGTTAAATGATTCTGCGGCATGTTTTTGTTTTGTTTTGTTTTGTTTTTTTCTCTACTGTTGCTCAGTCCATGGGGACTGAGGCCCAATCGGTTATAATGATAACATGTCCAATACTATACCTGCTATTGTTTTTTTTTTTTTTTTTTTTTCCTTTTTCCTTGTCTCACTTTTCCTAGTCCCTTGAGCAAGTGCCATCTGGGATCACCTTCCAAATAAACTGTCTGCCCCTAAGTCCTTATATCAAGATTGGCTTTAGGGGTAATCCAAGCTAAGGCAAGGCTTGAAGAATATGGAAGCCATGACTGACCAAGATTGACAGAATATTGTCATCAGAAGGGATGTCACGTATCTGTACCACAGATAAGAGCTAAGTGTAGCAAGTGCAAGGAACTAAAAGATGTTGCCTATGGCTGACTGGAGCAGAGAGTATGAGGGCGAAAGTTGTCAAATAGCAGGGACTAGTTCATGGTGTGCCCTAGAACTCATGTTCACCTTGTTGGCATGACTCTCAGTGAGAATGGAATTCTAGATTGAATGATTTCAAGTGGGGGAGTGATATGCTAGGTAATATACAGCAGCAGGCCCCAACTATATTGGCACCAGGAACCAGTTTCATGAAAGACAGTTTTTCCACAGAGGGTAGGAGGAGATGGTTTTGGGATGATTCAAGCACATTACCTTTATTGTGCACTTTATTTCTATTATTATTACATTATAATATATAATGCAATGATTATACAACTCACCATAATATAAAATCAGTGAGAGTCCTGAGCTTGTTTACCTTTAATGAGAAGGTCCCACCTGGGTGTAATGGATGACAGTGATGCATCATCAGGCATTAGATATCATAAGGAGCATGCAACCTAGATCCCTCCCAGTGCAGTTCACAATAGGGTTCACGCTCCTATGAGAATCTAATGCTGCCACTGCTGATCTGACAGGAGGCAGAGCTCAGGTGGTAACGCAAGCCATGGGGAGCAGCTGTAAATACAGACGAAGCTTCCCTGGGTTGCCTGCTGCATAGCCCAGTTCCTGACAGGCCATGGCCTGTGGCCTGGGAGTTGAGGCCCTCACATACAGAATGAATTTAAAGAGAAATAGAGCCATGGCACGTATGAGGAAGTTATTGCAATGATAGTGACCGATGTTTGGAGAAGAGTATCAGTAGTGACTGGCAAGAAATGAATGGATTACACAACTGTTTAGCAGACAGTATCTTCCTAGATTGCCATCGTGATTCCATATCAGAGTGAAGCAGGCAATAGTGGTAACTAAGGAAAACTTGTCCTTTCAACAGGGAACCATTTCAGTCAGAATTATTGATGTATTTGCAAATTTCCTTTGAAGATCTATTTGTCCTCAAGAAAAGGTCTTTAGCTTAAATCTGTATCCCTGTATCTTCATCTAATTCCAAACATATTTAAATACTTACAGTGACTGAGAAACTCATATCCTAGTCTTTTGGTTCATATTTGGTGGTAATTGTTAGGGTTCATTAGAGACATATGTTTAAATCAAACTCTGACTCTAAAAGTGAGAATGCATAAGGTAAATTTTACCAATTTACTGATGAGCATGGAAATAAATTAGAATGATGGAAAACAATATATTAAGCAAGTGCTTTTATAAAATTATTCCTGACATCTTTGAGATAAATGATCCTGCCATTGAATCCTTCCTTCATTTTAGGGTTCTTAGTGACCACTTATTTCAGTTAGCTCCATGAAAATGAGTTTTGCTGTTCCTGTTAGTCAGCACAAAATAAAAATGATCATAAATCTTTTATAAAGATGAGGCTTGCATTAAAAAGAAAATCTAATTGAAAGTTGCTTTAAATTTTGAGTGATTAATTTCATGTCAAATAAGTCATTAGAAATCGTGATAGCTGTAAAAAAGCAATCATTTGCAAAATTGGAAAAAGCTAAATTCAATCTAGATACACTTTTCTACTTTTAAAATTTGTATATTGGGAGAGATACAATATAGCAATTGTGGAATTTTAATGTAATAGCCTGTTATTATAGGTAGTTTGTACATGTGTGCTGTTGGGCTCTCAACCAACTAATTACTTTCCCTCTGGATACTTCTATTTCAGTTGATCATCTGTATTATATTTGGTTGGTGCAAAAGTAATTGCGGTTTTTGCCATTACTTTTAGTGTTTCTCTTGTTTCTTGTCTAATAATAATATATTCTACTTAATATCATTTCAAACATATAACAAAGATTAGGTTTTTTTTATGTTTTGGGTTTTAACAGATATATATACACACATATATAAAAATATATATTTAACATTTTTATACATACATATATATGTATATATATATTTTTAAAAATAGGCACTATATATCTGTATAGTTAAATACTACGAGCTAAAGCTTGTGGCCCCATTTTATGAAAACAAACGGTGCAATCTAGGAACTGTCTCCCTAAATATCTGTAATGTACTCCAAATGTACTCTCCAGTAACCAATATTGTTTGTCCTACAGCTCTTGTATTTTTAAGAGTGGACATAATATGCTAAATTTGGAGAGCTGATTGTATTTGAAAGATAAAAATGTCTGCAGGTCAGCCGAGCGTCATGGCTCATGCCTGTAATCCTAGCAGTTTGAGAGGTTGAGGCAGGTGGATCACCTAAGGTCAGGAGTGTGAGGCCAGCCTGGCCAACATGGCGAAAACCCATCTCTACTAAAAATATAATAAATTAGTCTGGCATGGTGGCAGGTGCCTGTAAGCTTAGGCAAGAGAATTGTTTGAACCTAGGGGGACAGAGGTTTCAGTGAGCTGAGATTGTGTCACTTCACTCCAGCCTGGGCAAAAGAGTGAAACTCTGACTCAAAAAAAAAAAAAAAAAAAAAAAAAAGCCTCTAGGTCTAGATCCATTGGTGCAAGACATCTTCCATGAAATTGCTTTTCATTATGGTATGTACATAAAACAAATTAAATATGTAATGATGTAACATAAAATCGCTTTTGATTTTTAATCCAATGAAATCTTGACATAACATGCCCTACTATTTTTGGAGGAACTAGTCAAACTAAAAAGAACCTCAGAATAAGTTGCTTATCATTAAGACTGAACTGATTACTCAGTGGACAACTAAAATGCAGTGGTGATGTTAACTTTTTTCTTTTCACATACTTCAAACTTTTAATTACCAGAAAAAAAATATTATATTATTTAGTACTACCGAGGACTCAGGTTTTAAAAGCAAACTAGAATAATTGTGGGGTAAAGTAGAAGCATCATTTTTGTTTTAAGTGAAAGACTCTTCATTTCACATTTACTATGCTACATATTATTGATTTTCTTCTCTGGTGTTGTTTTTTGCAGAGAGTGAATCTGTCCTTCGATTTTCCATTTTATGGCCACTTCCTACGTGAAATCACGGTAGCAACTGGGGGTAAGTGGTTTTCTACCCATTCACCTTAAGTAATCTATGGTTTGACTGCAGTTATTTTTAATGTACTCTATATTTCAAGATGGGTGTTTATTGATAAAACCATTGTGTTTTATCACAAAGCCATAGGTATAAATAAAACCAAACAAAGGGTATTGTTATTGGAAAACTTCTCAGCAGAAAAAAAAGTATTTATAATAATTTTCAACCTAGATCACCTCTGCTTTTCTTCCAAATTTTAATTCCTTTTTGGTAGTTTGGTAAGACTGTCCACATGGCAGAAGTTGGAATACAGCTAGAAAGAAAGGCTGCTTAATGAAGCTGCTGGTGATCTTAAATTTTCTTTTAATGTATATATTTGCTATATATATGTACATATATATAAAATATGTAAAATATATATAAACCTATATAATATAAAAATATATAAATATATGTAAACATATAAAATATATGTACATATATACACACACACGTATACACAAAAACCCACAACCATATGCACATTAGCTTTGATCATTTTTTTCCTTGAGTGTTACCTATTTTGATTGACAACTCATTTGAGAGTCTTCAAATAAAGGCTGAAATCCAGCTCAAATGTTTTAAATTTTATTTTTCTCCACAAGCTTAGAGGTTAGTTTAGAGATTAGCAATATCCTAGCAAAGTAATTATCATTCTTTATTGTGTATCTCAGAAGTCAGAAATATTTTAGTCTTCAAGTGCTACTAGAAGCAATAAGCAAAATGCCAGGGAATATCCCTGTAGGCTTTATGATGCAGGGGTAGGGAAGAAGGAGAAAAACACATAAAAATGGAACAGTAAGTAAAGAAGAAATTAAAAGAAATTCTATAGATGTACAAAGAGGCTGTGAGCATCTATGCCCAAAGCACCATAGACAGAGTCTCTTTCCTTCACCAAATCTTACCAGGGGTCTTTTGGATGGTGTGGAAACCATGTTAAGCATTGCCATTTTTTTTTTTTTTGCCATACTTTAATATAAGACCTAGAAGGTACTTAGGATTCAGAAGAAGAAGATTTGTAATCAGAAATATCAACAAGTAAATGGAAGTGTTTTGAGCACCTACTCTGAGTGATGGTAAATAAGTCTATCTCTGCCTTGGAGTTGTGTAGCTTAGTGAAATATTAGGTAAAGTGAAGCAGAATGTGAGGAATTGCTTAAGAAATACAAGTGATGAAATATGCCCAGGTGCAGTGGCTCACACCTGTAGTCCCAGCTACTTTGGAAGCCCAGGAAGGAGGATTGCTTGAGCCCAGGAGTTCAAGACAAGCCTGGGCAACACTGTGAGACCCTATCTCTACAAAAACATTTAAAAACTTAACCAGGCATGGTGGGGTGCTCCTGTAGTCCCAGCTACTCAGGAGGCTGAGGCAGGAGGATCACTTGAGGCCAGGAGTTTGAGACTGCACCGAGCTGTGGTCATGCCATTGCACTACAGCCTGTCTGACAGAGCAAGACTCTATCTCTGAAAATAAAATAAATTAAATTAAATAATTAGCTGGTATGGTGGCATGCACCTGTAGTCTCAGCTAGTTGAGAGGTTGAGGCAGGAGGATCACTTGAGTCCAGGAGTTTGAGGCTGCAGTGAGCTATGACCACACCACTGCACTACAGCCTGGGCAACAGAGCAAGACCCTATCTCTAAAGAAAAAAACAAACGGAAATCAGAAAAAGAAAATATAAATGATAAGCTATGGGTTTCCAGGGATGATGTAACTCAAACATCTCTGAGTCTTAAATGAGAGTTAAGACTACAGAAAAATTGGTGTTCAAAATGTTTCTTGGATCTCTTCTGTGATTGACTAGACAGACGTCATAAGCAGATAGACCTATTTGACAGATGCTTGCCATCCTTACAAATCTTAAAAAGGTTCTTAACCACACAAGTCTTGGAAGGAAAATGGAAACCACGAGTTGACTGCAGGCCATTCTCAATAGACCTGGGCTGGGAGTTTTAAGTAGAAACACAAAGATGCCTCTTTTGTTGACTGTCAGTTCTTTTTGTGTTTACAAATTCCTCTTGAACCTGTTTCTACATTGGGTGTGGGAAAAATTAAAGTGATATGTTTTCATGGTGAATCCAAGCTGTGCTAATAAATAAAGGGAATGCTTTAAACCATAATCCTCCTCATCTTACTTCATGGTTTTGCCATTTCCCGTATTTCCTTGATATCTCTCTATCTTTTTCCACACGGACACAAATTTAACATTGAAATTAAGTCAAGATAATGTCTCATGTTATTGCTAAGATCAGCACAACTTAAAAATGGAAAGTTGTTTAAAATATAGACATATGCATAGTTTACCATGGCCCCTCTTTGTATATGTATTTTACTGTGAATAAGCTTAACTTTCTAGTTTAAAATGTGAATTACAGCTAAAGCATCTGGTCATTTATCATATAAACTATAAAAATAAAATCTTTGCTTATTAAACATTTTAATATTCAAAAGCTTCAATAATCCATATGTACAATGGAATTGGAAATATCATCTATTTTCTGGTTCACTGATAGTGGAATCTGAAAGCATTCATTTATCTTTCTATATTAAAAATACTTCAGAATACAAATATTTCAAGCACTAGAAAACTAGTTCTCTGTGAATTTCATCAAAACAGTTTCATTAGTGATACCACCAAGATGTGTTTTTTGCATATCACACTGCATTATTTTCTTTCTATTTGAATATTTTAATTGGTTCTTTTTTATTATTAGCCTGCTAGTGTGATCTTTTAAATGTTCGAAAATGTAGATTTAAGTTTGAGGATTTGATTTGTAATCAAATAGCTATCCTAGGAATGATATTTTTACCTGAGTCCATCATGGGTACCATTACGGTGATGAGATGGGAGTATGTGAGGTGGGTTAATTACTACTTTATATAATGGGGAAAAGAAGAGGTAACGTTATACAGATAATTTTGGTCCCAGTATGTAAGTATGTAGAGAGATGGTGATTCTTAATTAAGGTAATATGGGGAATTGTGGGAAGTTGGACATGAGACTGAAAAGCAAAAGTGATATGAATTTAAAAGCTAATAATGAATGTGTATTACTTACCTTGATCATAGAACAATTTGCCTTCTCTTTCTACACAGGTTTCTACTTACAGTTTTCATAAGAAAGCGGTTTAAATTTTAGCTCTATTTTATTTCATTTGCTACGTAAAATACTAAAATGTTTATTAAGTAATATATTTACATATCTGAAAAACTAATAACGTGGACATTTAAAAAGTGAAACAGACAAAAGTAAAATGTAAATCTCCCTTCTTCCTTTGCCTCTTAGCTCACCAGTTTCCTGCCCAAGAAAAATATATCTTATTTTTTGAAGTATGGTATATTAAAATTCTAACTTGGAGTAGTTTCCTGTCTCTGGCCAATAATCATTAGGTTTTTTTTCTGTTTAAATTCCCACTAAGAGAGATTTGAAAAAAATAATAATGCATCTTATCTTCATTAGGTTTTCAGGAAGTATATTACCAAATTCCAAGCTCCTTTTTTGTTCTGGCTTTCAAGTGGTAATATTTTAATTGTAGTCCCAAATAGTATTTCATACTCTTTATAGGGACTTGATTAATAACAGGAATAAAAGTCTTTTTAGGAGAGGAAGAGAGTTAGTTATTACTCATGATGATTGATTTGTAAATACCAACCACATCTTCTTTCAAGTGTATAACCCCATAAAACAAAGCGTGGTGTATCCATTAACTTTCTGCATCTAGGGAGAAGGTGAATGGAGTTTTTTTGTATTATTATTATTAACAGAGATCACAGGTTATGGTTATCTGAGATCTATGCATGAATGGAAGATACTAAAGAGATAGATGCTGGATGAAAGTAAATCCATTCCAACTGGCTTCAATAATTTAAAGTTACAAGCTCAAGTCTCAAGGATTCCTAGACAGAAAGATAAATTGTGTGATGTCTAATCTGCTGCATCTAAATAATTCTCTGAGATAGACCTCCAAAACCCTGAGAGTTCATCTGAGCTGTCTTCTTTGATAATTTACTCCTCCCTCAAACTGTCTAGTGTCAGCAGTAGATTCAGTAGCTTGAACATTATTATATATGTATGTATTTATTTTGTAGACAGGATCTTACTCTGTCACTCAAGCTGGAGTGCAGTGGCACAATCACAACTCACTGTAGCCTTGACCTCCTGGGCTCAAGTGATCCTTCCACCTCAGCTCCCCAAGTAGCTGGGACTACAGGCATGCACCGCATGCCTGGCTAATGTTTAAATTTTTTTGTTGATATGGGGTCTCACTATGTTGCTCAGGCTGCTCTCAAACTCCTAGCCTCCAGCAGTCCTCCCATCTCAGCCTCCCAAAGTGCTGGGATTACAGGTATGAGACACTGTGCCAGGCTATATTGTTTTGTTCTTCACAAATTGCATATTCACAACCACTTTTGTTTCTCCTGCATGTCTGTTCATACATGCTTTATTTCATTAGCACTGACTCCTTGCAGCAGGGGTGGGAAGCATAATTGGAAATTAAGCCATTAGGAGACCCAGAGAGGAAGCACCCAGGAGCAAGAGTTGACTCAATAGGAATCAGCAAGAAAAATACAAGAGGCAGAAACATGGGTAGAATGAAGGAGGACCATTAGACATAAACAAAAGAGAGCAGAGCATTGGCATATGATGGATAAGTCATGATTGGAGGACAGGAATGGGGGAGATGGATCAGCTGAGACGAGGGTGTAGGTAAAAACAAGGTCTCCAGGCTCATCCCCTTCCATTTCCATAACAGCCCCTGAAGTGTCCACTGATTGCTAGTGCTAGAATACTCCGTTAGGGATGTTTATACCAGGAAAACATCATTCATCTTCTTGCAGCAGATCCAGGCTTTCTTGGAAACACTGGCAGTAATATTTTTGCTTGTAGCTTTTCCTAGTCACTGCAGCAGTAATTCAGATAAATAGCAATTTTACACAGATGCTTAAATACATCACCCAACTTAAAATAAAGGCTATCTAA